TGACTCCTGCTCAACACCTGACACATCCTGGGTTCCATCAATGATAAGTGCGAACTGGACCACTGGCATTGATGTTATGTCTGACACAATTTTTTTGATGATTGTATTRGCCATCAGCTGCAACAGTTCATTCTGCATTTTGGGACTGGTGAAATCAAACTGACGTTTTAGCCAGTTGGTCAGCTCTGCATCACCTTTTGCCTTGTACTTTAGAAGCTGGCTGAAATTCCCACTCTCCTTCTCATCGCCTTGAAAAGCCAGACCTTGCCGTGCCAAGTACTGCACACCCCCAGCAATCTTCATAAGATTTCTCCTTGCTTGTTGCTGCTGTCTTTCAAGCTCACGTGAAAGTTGCACATTAACAGTCTTTGGCTCCTGAAGCCTAGTCATCACAGCTAATTTGTGACACTGGCTGTCTTTATGTGCACTAAATTTCTCCAGTGCCTTCTTCCAGTTGTTAAAGCCAGTCTTGACAAATGCTGAATCTGCTTTTGATGCAAGCTTGGACTTTTGTGCTGCAAAGTATTTAGCACAATAGTAACAGAGAACACCCTTTACAGAGGGGCTGTAATGGAGCCATGTATGATCTTTAAACCACTTCTCCTGAAAGTAGAGTGTTTTATTTGATAGGGTTTGACTCGGTATGACTTTCACATTTGGATGATTTGGGAAAGGTCCAAGCTCCCTCCCTTCCTCTCCAGTGCCCTCATCATCGCCTGTCTGGCTGCTCATTCTATCTCTTTCTCTCTCACTGTCAAACTCCCTCTCCATGGGTATGATCTGAAATGCACGAGGATGATCTCATCTTAACTTAACATTAACATTAGACTGTTAAGGTTGTCATTAGTTGGTCTTCACCATTCATATTAGCTCCTTTCTCACTCACCTCCATGTCACCAGCACACACTCTCCCTGTCCTGTCACCATCCTCTTGTTCATTCTCTCTGTCCTTACTCTGAACACACCACAGTGAACATGGATGAAATATTAGTAAACCATAGACTAGAAAGTCTAATATTTATACATGTTTTACATATGGGGGGGCAACACGAGTCTGTACTTTAACATTGGACTGTTATGTTATGTTGGGTGAACAAATTGCAACAGAAGCAGTGTTATGTATGCAAATTAGCCATAAGTAATTAGATTATGCACTGTTTGCTCATGTTAACAACGAATTTCAAAAAGCCTGTATACATTTTTCATTTGTCTTAATGTAAGTWATAAACTCAGTAATTTACATGGTGATATCTAAGGCGGGTTAAACATTTTACCCTATTCACGTGAGGAAAATAATGAGGCTAGCGAATGGACTATATTTGGGTCTTTTTTGAAACTTGGGAAATGGGATTCTCCAGGGATTTTTTCCCTCATGTTGAGGATATAAAATCAGTTGCATTTGCTTCTGTTGCAATTTGTTCAAGGTTGTCCCCCATTTTGTCTTAAAATTACTGGACTAGACATAGTAAATTATAGACTAGAAARCCTATTTGATTATACTATATTGACTCCTTGACATTAATGGTAATTACTCATTTTCTCACTGCTCTGAACTTACTTTATTTCTTTTCTGAAGCTGCCCAAAAAACAGTCTTATATCGCTGCCACTCTTCCTCTTGCTCATGATGACTCACTGTGAAATTGACGTGCTACATAAATGATTGACACTCAAACTTCATGTGGGTTTTCTTACAAATATAATATGGTTCGATATAGGAGCTGGGAAACTTCTCCTCTCCTCATGTTAGTTGCTCTGGCTGTTCACTAGCTAATACCTGTAAATGGAATGTAGCCTAACATTATACTAGTGAGTTAGCTCAGAATTCCYGTCAGAATGTTAGCTAATGTTAGCCAGCTAGCTAGTAGGCTATTCCTTGCAAGACCATTCATGAAATTACATTTTCATAACACTTAACAAAAAATATAATCAACAACTTTAATATAGTCGATTAGTAACATTCATATTAGGCTACATTCTGATTTTCCACTTTTAAATATGTTTGAAAGTAATGAAAAACAGAGAGAGGGTTTGACATACCCACAGCAGTCGAGCAATGAATTCTGCTGGATGGGGTGGTGTGTCAACATGGTATTGTACGGCGGGCAACACCATCTGGACAAACCACGCATAACTGCAATCCTACAACCGGTAGTAACTAGCCTATATCAAAAATGTCTTATGTTTAGCTATAATAATGATTAAATGACTTTTTTGCTATTGATTATTTCGGACAGTGGGATGTGTATGTGGTTGCCTGACTTTTTTTTTTTTTTTTAATCAGATAGATATTGGGGGGGACATTTTGAGCATATCTGAATATTGGGGGGGACATGTCCCCCCCAATGTATATGGTGATTTAGGCCCTGTTATCATCAGAGACTGTTTCTTACTAAACCTCAAGCTGAGAGTCTGAAGTAACAACTCAGACTTTATGAAATCAACCAGTAGAAATTTAAAAAAAATGCTCAGTTCAACCCACGGATGAACCGATGAGAATTTAGTGGTCAAAGGTCAAGGTCTCTGTGACGTCAAAACACATGGTTGGTCTCTTGACTGCAACATCTTAGGAAGAACTTGAGGGAATTTCTTCAAATTTGGTACAAACATTCACTCGAGCTCAAAATGGTGATTCTAGTTTTGATGAATAACAGATCTCTATTATTTTGTGATAAATCTCCATATTTTATTTTCTATTTTTTCTATTTGACTGTTCCTCTCTCTCTCACATGTTGCAGGTTCTGCGTTATTTTGATTACGTTTTTACTGGAGTCTTCACGTTTGAAATGATTATTAAGGTGAGTTACTGTGTAAAAATGGTACAGCAATGATGTCAATAAATGGGATGATGGTAAAAAGCTATGTATGAAGCCACAGATCTCATGGACTCAAAGTTCCTTTTGTGCATTGCATTTGCTTCTTTACCAAAGTTAAAACCTATAAAGCTGAAATGAATTTGTCCACCAAAGGATCCAAAAGAAACTGTTGTTGTTTGACATATTTTAAAATATGACAAGTAATGATTTGGAAGTCCAAATATAAAGCTATTTCTGCTTGGTTCTTTAATCCCTGGTTTGGTTTGTTTTTATTCTAATTGTTCTGAAAAAGTAAAATGAATTATTATTTGACAAAAATGATTAAAAAAAATTAGAGGACTGTCTGAAAAGCATTAGTTACGTACATGATTTTATCTTGACTCCTTGTGTTGGTTTTGATTTTTTCAACCCTGAATCAGAAACACTAAAAAAAGATTTAAACTTAAAGTTGACTGCATGCCATGAAACCATCCAGTTAGTTTTTTTCTTCACTGCACACTCTTGTGTCGTCCTTAGATGATTGATCAGGGTCTGATCCTCCATGACGGCTCCTACTTCAGAGATCTGTGGAACATCCTGGACTTCATCGTCGTGGTGGGAGCACTGGTGGCGTTTGCCCTCACGTCAGTCACATGACTTATTTTAACTACTCACAATCATTGAACATATTTGTGATCATCAAATTGTCTTTAAATCATATCTCATTTTGCTTTTACTCTTTAAATTAGTGTTTAAAAAGGTTTATTCTTCTATTCCATTCTGTTTCTTGATATATGTGTCCCTCTCTCCTGTTTTTCCTTCCTCCATGGATGGTGTCCCTATTGGGACTGACAAGCAGCAATGTGTTGGGGTAAAAGCCGCCAAAGTTTACATCACTTAGAGATTTTAGCATCTTTAAACATACAATATTAGAATAAGTCAGATTAAATTTAATATCAAGATGAATCAACACAGTTCTGCAAGGAGTTTTTAAAAATGGGACACTTACGCTGCTTCTGTTGTGCTGCACAGAAATAACAAAGGACGGGACATTAAAACCATCAAATCTCTGCGAGTGCTGCGTGTCCTCAGACCACTGAAGACCATCAAGAGACTTCCTAAACTCAAGGTCAGAGATGTTCCGTCTCTATTTGTGTTATTAGTATATTTCTGACAACATTTGCAGCTATGAGCTACTTGATAAAAAACATTTAAAAGACACTACTCTAGGTGATCAAAGCAATACAAATATCAAACAGGTTGTACCAAGTGCTATTAAGTGCACATATGTATGTACAAGTATTTGTATAGAACCCAAAGCAGTCTTTCTTCTCTGATAATGTATTTTGATTTATTAAATGGCTTCAAGTGTATGGTTAAGATATTAACAGTGTCTCATTACACACACATACACACACGCACACACACACACTGACAGGAACCAACCATATGGCCTCCTTCAGAGCAGGGACCGGACAAGTAGACAGACAAGGTGATAAACCATGAGGTAACGAACTGGGATCATTAGACCATGAAGATGTGTTGTCAGGGGCCAAACGTCACACATGGACTGTGTCTGAGGAGAGAGGAGAGGGGGGAGAGAGGGGGGAGAGAGGGGAGGAGCAAATAAATAAATCAGAAGAAACCTGGTGGTTAAAAAGTAGAGGAGAGCGTTAGAAGTGAAATGCTTTTACGTGTTCTATTTCCATATATATCCATAAAACTTGCATATTCTTTATATATGACTGGAGAGCATTCCTCAAAGCTTTAGGCTACACAACATTTATTACATTTATTGCAATAGCCAGTTTCCCTTCATGCCATGAAAAAGTAAAAGTTTCTGTTTTTAAAACTCATAAAGATTTTCATTTATGTGCCTTGTTATCTGAAAATTGAACGATGAAAACAAGCAAAGTCCTGACTAGACGATTACATAACTTTGATAACATGAATGAAAACATGGATTACTGCTAATCTTGATGGTTTTATGTGTAAATGAAATATATTAAGCCCTGCTCCTTATATCATTTCTCTTCCTCCTCCAGGCGGTCTTTGACTGTGTGGTGACGTCTCTGAAGAATGTCTTCAACATTCTCATTGTCTACAAACTTTTTATGTTCATCTTTGCTGTCATCGCTGTGCAACTCTTTAAAGGGAAGTTTTTCTACTGTACTGACAGTTCGAAGGACACGGAGAAGGACTGCCAGTAATACACTTTACTTCTTTTAGTACTTCCTCCATACTTTGTTGTCTTCATTTTTATGTTTGTCACTTCCTTTCTTAATTTTTGGTTCACTTTGTATATTTTTTTTTACTCATACTAACATTCTTCAGTTGGTTCTTTATTAATTTTGTTCCTACTCTTCCTCTCTTACTTCTTCTTTCCCCAACTATTTCTTTCTTTCTTTAATCACTTAATCAATTCATTTTTTTGGGTTGATTGTTTTAACTGTACTGGCTCCATGTCTCCTGACACTAAAGAGAAAAAACCTGTTAATACTTTCTATATATTCTGCATTTGTTACGTGTTTATAGTCTCATGCACCTCTGCTGTGTGCTGCTGCAGGGGTTACTACATCGACTACGGGAAAGACAAGAAAGAGGTGAAGAGAAGAGACTGGAAGAGACACGAGTTTCACTACGACAACGTTATCTGGGCTCTGCTCACCCTCTTCACTGTTTCCACTGGAGAGGGATGGCCTCAGTGAGTCGAGTTCCAATTCTCACACTCATCATATTTTATGAGCATTATAACATTTAACATTTATATTTTCATAATGCTCAAATCTGACCTTTATATAGAGAAATATTCTTTAGTAATATTAAATTAACTTGACAAACAGTTAAACACTTTCCATTTCAACAAATCATTAATTTTTTATGAAATTAATTAGATTATATTGTTTTTGTATATTTTCAATAAAATTGATTCATAAATTTAAATTAAAAAATATGTTGTTTTAATTTACTTATTATTACTATTACATGAAAGCCTTTAATATTTGACTAATAAACTGATAAACCTTTTTGCTGTTGCCCATGCAGGACTGTTACCATGGTGTCTCTGTTTTCTCAGGGTCCTGCAGCATTCAGTGGACGTGACCGAGGAGGACAGAGGGCCAAGCCACGGCAACAGGATGGAGATGTCAATCTTCTACGTCATTTACTTTGTCGTCTTCCCTTTCTTCTTCGTCAACATCTTTGTGGCTCTCATCATCATTACCTTCCAGGAGCAGGGGGATAAGATGATGGAGGAGTGCAGCCTGGAGAAGAACGAGGTGAGGAAAGATTCTTCCTGTCCAGGATAGTTGCCTTCCTACGGTTATTTGTTTTCCATGTCTCCTATATTTTCCTCTTGCACTTTCTCTCTCCTGTATTTCAGAGGGCGTGCATTGACTTTGCAATTAGTGCCAAGCCCCTGACCCGTTACATGCCGCAGAACCGTCACACGTTCCAGTACCGTCTCTGGCATTTTGTGGTGTCCCCCTCTTTTGAGTACACTGTCCTGGCCATGATCGCTCTCAACACCATTGTACTGATGATGAAGGTGAGGAAGATGAAGCAAAGACATTAAAGACCTCATTCTCTCTGTCTGCCCCCACTCCTAAACATGACACATATTTTTTTCACACATGCCTGTTTGCTAATAGGAAAAACTCACCTTGTGTCGCTTCTCGGCAACATCTTCTGTTATGAAGCTGCGACTGTTAACACTTTGGTTTTAAAATAAGCCCAGATGTGTCACTCCTGACTGTGTGAAGTGTCCTTATTTGGAAGCACCGCACCACCTCGACACACTGTGATGTTTGCTTTTGGATCGGCTGATGTTTTAGTTTTTTCCACCACTCATGCTGTACAATTTATTTCCTGAACTTGCCTTTTCTCTGGCTACACTGCTCGTTCAGACAGAGAGACAGACAGCAAGACACGGGGTGACTCAGCCTGTATTAAATATTGATCTATAATGTCCAGGGGCTGCTATTTAGCATGACCTCATTAACAGTGGCTGCCGCCCCCAGAGGAATGACTCCTTATATAGTGCGACAGATGAGAGGTGCAGAGACTGAGGCAGGATTTATGGGTCTGGAGGAATCTTCCATCAACCTGGAGATCTGCTGCGTGCAGGGCTGAGGTTCTCACTGATGTCAGCCTGATATCATGAGGTTGAGCTGCAGTGAACTGTTTATGGAAGTTCTATTTTTATCTCACTTGTAGCACAAATTTCTGCCCCCTTTTTATTTCCAGTATTACTCTGCACCACCAGCGTACGAGGCCGTGCTCAAGCACCTGAACACAGCTTTCACCGTTCTCTTCTCTGTCGAGTGTGTCCTCAAGATCATGGCCTTCGGCTTTCTGGTGAGAGCAAAAGGGCAAAAATACAGCGTGAATGTGAATTTTAGATCCTCTTAGTAAATGACTCCAAGTTTCTCCTTCATATTTCTGCAGAACTACTTTCGAGACACGTGGAACATTTTTGATTTTATCACCGTCTTGGGCAGCATCACTGAGATTGTGGTGGACCTGCAGGTAATAAGTAAAACATGCTATCATCGGACTCGAACACTGGCTGAAAGTCTGATTTATAATGCGTTCTCTTGCGAGCACAGTTTTACCTTTAGCTTTAAATATTTACTGACTGTGTTTCTGTCCGTTTACCAGTTTGTTGACACGTTCAACATGAGTTTCCTGAAGCTGTTCCGAGCTGCTCGTCTGATCAAGCTGCTGAGACAAGGCTACACCATCCGGATACTTCTGTGGACCTTCGTCCAGTCCTTCAAAGCCTTGCCCTACGTCTGTCTGCTTATCGCCATGCTCTTCTTCATCTACGCCATTATTGGCATGCAGGTCAGAGGGAGAAAAGACAGAGACATCATTAGTCTCTGTCTCTCTGTGGAGATGATGTTCGACTTGCTACATTTTATTTTCCTGTCTCTATTCAAGAGCATGGTATTTCAGGTTCAGAGCAGATCTTACTGACTCATGTTCAGATTTTGTAATGCTCTCACTCTGTAATTGCACTCGAATAACCCCTGCTTGTGCTTAGATTTGCTCTACCTGTACTCAAACTGCCTGCACTCAGACATTTCTTCATTATCATATGTCAACACGACATTTGGCATTCAAATAGTAAGTAGTTGTTGTAAAAAAAATCAGATAGCAGAGAACTAATCAGAGAGCAGAAGTTTAACACATAAAGCTCACAGAAGCAGCTTGAGCACTGGGAGAAGAGCTAAAGCTGGAGCGCAAGCAACAAATATCTGAGTGCACATTATGAGCACAAGGGGAACAAGTCGAAACGCAAGCAGGAGCTATTTGAGTGCAGGCGCAAGGATTTAAGTGAAAGCATTACAAATTCATGATGAAAATGAAAAAGTCCTGCTCTAAAACTGGAAGACCACGCTCTGGAATAAAAATAAGAAAAACCCTCATAACATTTTTAAATCCAGCCTCACAAATGAGTTTGTTTCATGGTGAAAATTCCATTTTAAATGCAATGCAATGGTTTTGCAATTGTGTGTTTGTGTGCGTCAGGTGTTTGGGAACATTAAGCTGAATGAGGAGACTCACATCAACCAGCACAACAACTTCAAGTCCTTCAGTGGTGCTCTGATGCTGCTCTTCAGGTAGGAAACTGTGGCATCTGCATCCAGTCTGAATCTCAACACACTCAGTTCTCTTCTTAATGCAGCGGCCTTGCTTCAGTGCTTCAGAAAAGCTAGTTGCTTAGTGTTAAATTGAGACTCAGCTGTGATCTACTGCTCCTCTTTATTTGCTACACTTGGTTCACTAAGTAACACGTTTTTTTAATGTCGTCTGAATCACGTTGCTAGGTTACATTAGAAAGGCTTAGCTCTCCAAGTACCCAAGGGGCTACTCAGTGTCGAGAGGTGATAGATGCTGCATTGTACCATTTATCTTGAGCAAATAACTTTACAGACAAGGTAGAATGAATGTTATTGTTATAATTAGTATTGTGTTTGTTTTCCCAAATTGAAGGTGCAAGTTTGTTCTCATATGACATGACAGATAACATCTCTACATTAAAACATTAAAATATCACACCCCCTCAGCAACAGTGACATTAAGATAAATCAAAAGGTCAGAATCGTGACATACAGTATGTAGTGTGCATGTGTGCGTTTAACTACGCAACCACATCTCAGGTTCAGAGCTGGTTCTTAAAACTGAATCTGAGCTGGAGTCCACATGCTTTGATTGCTCCTGCCAATGCAGACGTAACTGTGAATACACTGAGAGCTGGACAACTCCTTGTGTTGTGCAATGTGTGTGTGTGTGTGTGTGTGTGTGTGCGGGTACGTGAATGTGCAGGAGTGCCACGGGGGAATCATGGCAGGAGATCATGTTGTCGTGTCTGGGGGGGCAGCAGTGCGAGATGGACCCTTCTCTCACGTCAGAGCCAGAGGGCGGCTGCGGCTCTGACTTTGCCTATTTCTACTTTGTCTCCTTCATCTTTTTCAGTTCCTTCCTGGTAAGAAAGAAACTAAATGTGAATAATATTTATAACTTCAAACAAGGATAACTTGTCTGTAAGCAAATGTTTGCTAAAGAGAAGCTGAACTGCACATATCGTGTTGTATTTTCTTGTTACAGCAGTCGTTCTTTATATTCATATGTATTAATTTAGATAAACATTAAGGCCTCTCCATCCTCTGCTATTTGTCTTTTGTCCAGATGCTGAACCTTTTTGTGGCTGTGATCATGGATAACTTTGAGTATCTAACCAGAGACTCATCCATCCTCGGTCCTCACCACCTGGATGAGTTTGTCCGGATCTGGGGGGAGTATGATCGTGCTGCCTGGTCAGTGTTTCCAACAACAGTGCACAACAGCGCACACACAATTTTCATGCTTTTTATCTGCATCAAATGCAAGTGTCAAGTTCTAATATGATACAGACACACATGTAATTAATGCAATTCAATAAAATACATGTATATTAAGTTAGTACAATGCATAAACATATGTTCATGGATGGAAGCAACTTCAGTGCTCTAGGTAGATATTTTGGTCAAGATGCTTTAAGTTGACTTATATACACACTCCAGCATCACACAGCACACTGAACTTGACTGAAGCAGTCACCTAGAAGTTATAACCATAAAACCTGGACAAACTTGTTATAGCTTTATTCACCAAGGACACTGAAAAGCATGAATTTATCTCAGCGACACTAGAGAAAGATCAAATCCTTTATCTAAAGTCCTTTATAAGAAGTGATACACATAGTTCAGGCACTGCACCTTATGTTCACGTCAAATGGCTAGTGTGGTACAATCAAGAAAGATGGTATCCCTGTAAACAAGGTTACAGCTACTGTATAATGTGGATATGAATGAAATAGGCACCAGTATATCACAGTGCTGACTCAGGCTAGTACATCTTTCCTACTCTTTCGAAAAAGTGCTCTCAAGCTGCTTTCAGACGTGCACTGAAATCTGCAATTTTTCAGAGGGGTTGTATGTGAGGATGCAAATATCAGCCATGTGCACCAGACATTTTCTGGAACTTTTCCTGCCAGCCCCGAGTAAAAGTCTGTAAACTGTCAGAGTGAGGTGTCATACACGTAGAAGACAAGACAAAGATGACAACATAGAACATAGAACAATGAGATCCAAGGGCTTTTGGTGATAACGTCTCGTCCCTGAATGTTCCAGAAATGTTCCTGTTGTTGAGAATGTGGATCCAATTTTTGGTATTTTCCAGAGTTCATACCTTAAAGCAGCTTCAGATTTTCGCTCCCCGCTGTTATGAAACAATATCGTTTTCATGAGTTCACCAGAGTGAAAAAAGTTTGATTTAAAATTGTATATAATAAGATGTCTTAAAACTGCTGCTTTTATATTTTCTCATCTTTACACCAGAGAACTGACTCCACTGAGGTCATTTCACTCTTCTTGTGAACGAAGAGGCTCAAATGACAAACAACTAAAGACATGTATGTTTTTTCCAGTGGAAGGTTGCACTATAAGGAGATGTACAAAGTTGTACGCACAATCTCGCCTCCCCTGGGCTTTGGAAAGAACTGCCCCCACAGGGTGGCGTGCAAGGTTTGGTTCCCCCAACGCCAAGAACCACTCTCTCCCGTCCCTGCTCTCCTTCCCTTCACCAACTGTCTCCTCAGGAAGTAACAAACCCTCAGGGGTTTGTTACTCAGGTCAAAGAATGACTCCGGTCTCAGGATACTAAGGCACAGGATGTCCCTCAGTCATCCAGAATTATGAAAAAAACTCACTTTGAATAAAATAATTTTTTTAATGATTAAGCTTCGATTTTGGATGAGTTTGAGGGAAGCCGGTCTCTTTCTATCTTTTGGATCTGGTTTTAAAATGTTTTATATCTCTCTGGAATTCATACAACACTACAGAACGTAAGTATTTGACAGTAGTACCAGATCCAGGCTGTCATTCATTTGCTCATCCTGTCCAAGGTTTTCTCCTTTCCCAGATTTCTATGCCCTGTTGGCGGCATAGAAAGAATACAACCTGTTTTGTTTCTCCTCTGTTTGCTCTCTCCTCCTGTGTGTTGCCTTGGAATAATCCTTTCTTTTGTATCTCCTCCATTTTCTTCTTCCTCTCTTTTACCCTCCCAACCCCTTCCTGCGTGACTCCTCCACCGTTATTCAATTTCTGCTCCACCTCCAACATCATCCCTCTCCGATCCTCTCCTCCCCTCCTTCTCCCTCCTCTTTCTCATCCACCATCTTCATGGCTACCTGGCACCCCCAGTGGTCGTATCCATTACACAGACATGTATGAGATGTTGACCAACATGTCGCCACCTCTAGGCCTGGGCAAGAAATGCCCCTCCAAGGTGGCATATAAGGTAGACTAAACGCTGGAGAATAACAGGAACTGCCTTCATGTGTTAACCCATGAGGAAAAACACTGTCGAAGCTTATTTTATGTGTCTTATGTTGGAAAGGCAAAGCTTTTTTTTGGCAGTAATGATTTGGCTGTTTCGCTTTGCATCTTGGCAGAGAAATAAGATGTTATCTGTTTGCTGTTACCTGATGACAGAGTCTCGGTTGAGTTCATTTTTCTGAGAGCGTAGAATATCGAATTGCTAAAAATCTTGTAACTTGTAGGAGTCGCTGTCTGTTGTCGGATGTTCTCACGTCGTTCATACTTCTCCTGTCTGCATGTGCCTCCTGCCACATGTGTGTGTTGTTTGAGTGAGTTTGTGAGCCTGCAAGCATGTTCCATCCCAGACAAACACTATTCTCATTGCACAGTGTGTTGTGTTAGTCTGTTCTCTTTTATGAAACGAAGATTATCTGCAGATTGTGAGCAGGAGAACAGGAGAGGACTTTCGTAAAGATTCTTTTGTTGGGTATATGTTTAAAATAATTATCTTCCGTCTAAAAGAAGAAAAGAAATAATAACATACCTGCCCTCTCCGTTCTCATGTATTTATTATTGTAGTTTAGTTAAAGTTTTACAGCTTTGTGAAATTGTGGGTTAATTGGAAACTCATGCCCAGAAAGACCTTGGTTGCTGATATGGTCATGTTCTTTTTCAAGCTTGTTGCTTTGAAATTGTGACGTAACTAGAATGGCACTAAGTAGAGTTCATACCTCTGTCAAGGCCCAACGGTTCTCTTATGAAACCACATTTGAATTCAGTCAATCTCAATTTGTATTTGGATCTGCACTAAATGATCGTATTTATTAGTCTCCGAAACATGTGAGATTTTTTAAAATCAAGATCCATGAGTATCTCTCCAAGAAAATGTTGAAAAACGCTCACGATGATAAAGAAATTGAAGTAAAATTCTGGATCTACCCCCTGATCCAGATCTGCAATAAAAACAGGTTCTTCCCTGACCCATAACACATCCTTCCACCAAGTTTCATGGTCATCGGTCTGGGACTTATGTGTAATGCTTCTGACAAACAAACAGATGAAAACATTACCTCCCTGACAGAGGTAATTACTTATATAAAAGATTCATGAGTAGGCTAACTCACTCATTAATGTCAAGTTGGCCATTTTCTTCTGACACAAAGATTATTTAAATGCCTGTGTCTGTTCAAATTATAATTTGAAAGGGATTAAATCATGATAGATGATCTAAAAAGTATCATGAGCCTCCACAGCCGTTCTGGGATTTCTATTATTTCAGTTTTATCATTGTTTGTTGTCGTCCTGGGTCGTGACTGACTTTTACTCTTTCTCTGCTGCCATCAGAGACTCGTCCTAATGAACATGCCTGTGGACGATGACATGTCTGTCCACTTCACCTCCACCCTAATGGCCCTCATCCGCACCGCGCTGGAAGTCAAGATAGCCAGAGGTTACACTGAATATCCAAACACACATCCACTGTGGTGCAAAATGAAATGAGCTTAACTGCAAGCCTTTTTGTTTCCTCTTGTCTCTGCTGTGTGTTTCCAGGAGGAGAGGACAGAAACCAGATGGACCTGGACCTGCAGAAGGAGATCAGCGTCATCTGGCCTCATCTCTCTCAGAAGTCGCTGGACCTGCTGGTTCCCATTCACAAAGGTGACGTCAGCGTTACACCTGCAACTTAACAAGACAACTCATATGCTGCTGTTAAGTGGTTTGATACTTTTACCTTCTCCTCCTCAGCCAGTGACATGACCATAGGGAAGATCTATGCTGCCATGATGATCATGGACTACTACAAGCAGAGCAAGGCCAAGAAGCTCCGACAGCAACTGGAGGAGCAGGTCCCTTGTTTTTATTTTCTTGCTTTATTAATTTAATTAATTAATTTATTATTAGTTATTCCACAAAGCATCCAATGATGTAGTTTTATATTCTTTATCTTGGCCACTATTAAGACTTTTAAACAGAATGAAAGCGTTTTGAAAACAAAAGCATTAATCTTATTAACAATATATCGATTTCTTTTTTAACTTTCATCCAAAGCTATGTTTAGTGTAAAACACAGCTATCTACTCATCTTTGCCAGACTATTTCAATTGTTTTGATTTATTGCTTTCCCTTGTGTCCCCACAGAAACACGCTCCTATGTTCCAGCGTATGGATGCTTCCTCTCTGCCTCAAGAAATCCTATGCAATGCCAAATCCCTTTCGTTTCTCAGACACGGTGCTGGATCTGCTCTGTAAATACTGCCATCTTCCTCTCTTCACACAGTTATTAGATTTATAGGTATGTGTCTGCTGCAGTTGCCCTGAGTCTTTGTGTCCTTTCAGCACCAGAGGAGGTTTTGTGGCGCTCAGCCCCATCTCCCCCCAAGAGATGTTCCTGCAGCCGCCGTCTTGTTCCCGGGAGGAGAAGGAGGAGGAGGAGGGCGAAGACGACTATCGTTCACCCTACCTTCCTTACCACCACCCACATCATCACCACCACCACCATTTACACACACTGGTAACAAACATGGTATCTTGTCAAATAAAAGTTGGTCAACTTAACCTCAAACACTAAATTACAAATAATATCAATTGAGTAAACAAAACTCCATGAAGGGATGCCCCATGTACTGAGGCTTAAATCCTCTCCAGTGGCCGCAGATTTGGATTCTGACTTATGGCCCTTTGCTGCTTGTCTTCCCCTCTAAAATGCCGAAATATGGCATTTTTTGCTGTAGACTTGTGTTCGTGCTTCCTGATTCCTGAGTCTTTATATAAGATGTGAATGAATCCCACTCAGTCCTCCTGTCTGTGGTATTATTGTAGGTGCAGGACATAGTGGAGTATAACCAAGTGATACAGCAAGCCAGGCAGGACCCAACAGATGTTAAATCACCTCAGCGGACAGCATCGATCAGAGCGTCCTCCATGCCCAGACTGGCTGTTGATCCACAGGTAATAATTACCTTAATTTAAACCAGTATTCAGTTCTTATCCAATGTTGAATTAGAGAGTGCAGTAAACTGGATGCACTGGATTGAAACTATTTGTTTTCATCCTTTATAGTGACTGTTTGTAGAAGCTCCTCTGCACATGATGGGATCTGTATTTCATGGTTGCCTAACGGATTCCTTCTCTGGTTGTGTGTGTGTGTGTGTGTGTGTGTGTGTGTGTGTGTGTGTGTG